CGTCTCCAACCGCTCACCGGATCCTTCTCCACTGCGGAGAGGAGCAAATACTGATAGGACGGTGTCTACAGCGAGCCAGAAAAAGAGCGTGACCTATCGAGGTATAATTGTTCAATGCCCAGCATCGTCTTTGACATGCCATCGTAACATGACTGGCAGGGACCAGTCACCGCCAGGCTGCGTTTGGTGGCTTTTGAACATCTTGCGCAAAAAAAGAAACAAGCTGGGGCGGGAGGGGTATAGAACGGTAATCGTAAGTCATCAATCTTGAAGAGGGAAAGTGTACTCTTCTAGGTATGGTCCGGGTGGCTCGATCCAGTCCGGAATTTCCAAGGCCTCCCCGTCGAATAGCATTTCTGGATCGTGATCCATATAAGAGTAAGAGTCCCAAGTTGCTGCGGCTTCTTCACGAAAATCATTCTCTGTTGATAGTTGCCCTTCTAAGTGGTGTGTTGATGTGCATGTCGGCTCCTGAAGTCGTACCCGCCTAGACTGGTGAGATGGTGCGTCGCAGACGGCATCCCCAGGTTCTGACGAATGAGAAGAAAATAGATATCCTATTCATTTGACTTCTCATCAGACATTGTCCAGCACACAGCAAGAGCAAAATAGAAGACAGTTTATTGCAGAAGCTGTGGCTAAGCTTACCTTTGACCAACTTCACCTCAGAGTTTCTTCTTAAAAACCCTTGCACCCAGTGTTTGCCCAGTGGCTGGCTGTCTCCATGTACAACCAAGACGCGGCTGGCGAATTCCTCAAATTGTCCCTGAGTTGGAGGAACTCCAAGGGCAACAAGATGAAAGATCCAGCGGGACAACAGCTTTTCCTGTTGCCGTGAGAAACGCTGCCGACACTCATGGGCTTCGGCATGTGAAATGCCACCATTGAGTCGGTCTTGCAGCGTTGCTCGTGGGATATGCCATCGCTTAGCAGCTGACCGTTGTGAAGTGCCTTGGTGGACTTCACGGACGGCTTCTTGCAAGTCCTTTTCGGTGTACTTGGGCATTTGGGGTGGATGTGCGGTGTGAAGGGTCTGTCAGAAAGGGTATTTATGTAGGATGCGTGTGAATTGGAGGGTTGGGACGATAGCTAGGGGGGTGGGCAACGTGAACAGGGTCTGTAGAGAATAACCAACGACGAAGAAGCCTTGGGCAAAAAGCAAATGTTAGAGAACAGTCAAGTCGGCCATGATGGCCCGGACTGATGCGTGAAATGGCCAGATAATGGGTGAAAAGAGGAGAGGTGGGAGGTGGCCACTTGATGCCTCAAATACTCGCAGCTTTCTGGCAGAAGGGAAAAAGGCGGAGAGGAAGTCTGGCGCTGGTGATCGGAGGGGACAGACAGGAAGGGGGCAGGGAAGGCGAGGTCAAACCCCCAGAGTAGGGCAAGAACGCAAAAAGCACGGGTTACAGGTTCCGGGTTGGGAGGAGACCAGAAAAAACAAGTGAACAGCCAATCTGGTGCGAGCTACTCATCCCGAGTCGAGACAAGCCAAGTACAAAGTACCAAGGTACCGCAGAGTCACAGTCGCGATGACACGAAATAAAATGAAGCAACAGGAAGGAGCCGTCCGCTAGCCAGGTGGGCAAAGTGGGCAGGCGCTTCGAGTTTACGCGGGCCACGTCAATGGACCAAAGTACGGTCTAGTATTGTAGAAAGGGAGTAATAGGGAGCACAGCCTGGGGGCACAGTCCTTGCACCCGGGAAACTGAGATCAGCGAAACTCTCCCATTCTCTTGGATACCCAGTACCTATAGGTAGGCTCCGGGTGTGGGAATGCGCCAGTGTGAAAAGGCCAGGGAAGCAGTACGATGCACGCCACGGCTGCCATTAGTCACCAGCACCAACTACAGCACTCCAAAAGCACGTTGAGCGCTCAGGCAAAAGGGCGGCGGGGCAGGGGGCCCTGGGATCATCTGGTCAAGTGCCTGGAGATGCATCACGGCTTTACGGCACTCTGTAACAGGTGCATTGGTCGAGGCGTGTGCGTTCTGGTGTACGTGGACGGCGGTGCTGGCGTGTGCCCAAGGTTGGTGTGTTATCCTCTCCTGAGGACGTAGCACGAACATGCTGAGATGGAACATTGAATACGTATTGACATTTGAAGGATAGACACGGCAGCCAAAGACTAAATACCGGCCCAGCATTATCCGCTGCCTTAGCGTCGACAGGGCACTTGTCTTCATGAGAAGATCCGATTTGACGACTGTCGACTGCTCTCGACGACATGACGCGACGTGTTGATTGCGGCGGTGCTGGTGTCGAGTTGCAGCGTCCGGCTGCTACAAAGGCTTTTCGAGACGGCGGTAACGACCATTTGCACATGGACAGCCATAGCCTGAGAGACACAGCCGACCCGGCCACAGCATTATGTCGCCCATCGACTAGTGCTATTACCAGACAATGTCGAGTCTACCCACCCATCCAACTCTGAGAGTGTCCATATCCATACACACATACCATGGCCCACCAATCTAGTTCATCGCCTGGGTCAAAACACCTCATACATCATCGTTTTCTGACGGCACGGCGTGCGAGGAGCCCGGGCTGTGGTCAGACCGCCTCATCGCTCATATGCATTTCAAACATGTTGAAATGGTGGGTAGTTTTGTGAGCCGGATCAAATGTCAAAACCGGGAAACGACTTGAAAAGGGGCCCCGCGACCATTTTCGTCACTTCTCTTCCTACTAATAAACACGAAAAAAAACGACGACAATAAAAGGACATCCACATGACAGTGGGCTTTGTGGAGGATATGTGTCGTTCCGTTTGCGAACCCACCGAACTGCTCAATCTGCATCCAGCAAACTTTGATCCAGACTGGCCCATTCACGCATCGGGACCAAATTGCTCCATCTTTTTGCCGCCGCTGGGTTCTCAAAACAACTGGGTACCATGGCTACAGAAGAAAGCCTCTCTGAACTAGCAGGGCTGATATCGCTAACTAGAATCTGCAGCTAGCGACTCACCTTGTCATCAAATGCCCGTCGTCACTCTCGGAACTCGTCAGGCTTGAGCCGTCAGCTGCAGCCGTTGCCGCGGGACAGGAACTGGCCGCAAACGAATTTTGACACAGTTGAAGACCGAGTCACGAACATGCAAATGCCTCAAACGATTCGAGTCGTATTCTTGATAGAAAGAACAAAAATTGCAGCGCTTGACAGCTGACTGACCAACACCCACCAGCTCCATGCCCAGCCTCCTCAACTGCTGACTCTGCGTCTGCTATGCATGTGCAAATGTACATGCAGAGCCCGGAGCGCAAATGATTGATCAATTGAAGATAAACTTCAGCAAGCATGGCACGTCGTAATCATACACATTCCTAGAGGTCTCAGGAGTATGCGGTGCAAGCTCTACAGTCACCCTGAGATGCATGAGGCTTGTTGATGGATTAACAAGCTTGCATCGCGCACTGTTTGGTCAATCAAATGCCAAGCATCATCTACCCTCAAGGATGCCTGGGAGGCCTCGTTCGGGACCGATCCGAAAAAGGGACCCTGCCTCAAACTGCTGCACTCCACCATTTGGGTGGAGCCGGTCTTAACTTTGCGGTTGGCGAAAGGGCTTCACAGTCGTGCTGCGTTGCTGTGTAATGACGACGGTGGCCGTGGCAATGCCCTTTAGGCGCATGGCGTCTGCCGCATGCCAAGAGCATGACAAGTGAGATTACAGCAAGGAGTCAAGGGGTCGAGGAGTGGATGAATGCCACTGCAGCGTTTCTCACGCGATGGCTGCAATTTTATCGACGCCTTGGGGGCCACAAAATCCAAACACACTCCTAATCAAGCAGATGGAACTCATGGCGTACATCACACATGGAAGCCCAGGACCACACCACGCAAACGGGACCGGCCAGACCAAATAAGAACAACGGACAGTCACCGACTCAGGATGTTCGTACTCATACTCGCATCATTCCGTCCATTTGTCCCATTTGTTCTCGCGGGAGGCAAACGGGTTATTTCCACGCTAGGGCAAATGCTTGCAAAAGTGCCCAAAAACGCAGTTATCCTAAAACTACTACCATCTCATGTCGCCGATCAGCCACAAGCCGAGGACCGACTCCTCTGCGGCGTGATTGTTCCACTGTGTGTTGCTCCAGTCGCTGAGGTGATGGCCTACAGCGCCTCCCATCTCCCTGGACAGCGCTTACATGTTCCTGACACATATATCGCTCATACATGCTGCTCTTTAACTCTTACCTGAGCTACACGCAGGGTACTCGTACTCTGTTACTAGGAGACCTGGGACACTCACATCAGCTGTCGCCTTCCTCACCTTTCCCTCGCCTTTTGTTGCCGCCCATCACAATGAACTAAACGGCCCCTCACTCTATACTCATCTCGGACAAAGCAATTTTGGCAATAATGGGACTCTTTTTTCGTGGGTGTAAATCGTCAACCGCCCCGAAGCGTAGATCCGTTCCAGACAACACACCCCGTCACCAGCCTTATTGTTCTTTTCCCCCTCTCGTTTAAACCCCTGGGCCAAAATTCTGGCGCGGCAGGACGACTACTCCGTACCATGACAACGGATGATGACGGCAGGTCCTTTGAACCCTGAACTAACCAACCAAAACCCATGTGATTCTCTTATGCAAGTGATGACAGTGGCCGAAATAGAGGTAGCTGTGTCCTGCGAATATGTTGCCAGAAACCGGCCAGGTAAGATGAAAGGCTGAATTGATTGTTCGCATTGCGACGGAGAAAGAGAACTATATCGGGAAACTTGCACCGCGCTGCTCGTAAATTTTGCGCGGTATTGCAGCTGAATTTTTTTTTTCGCCGCATTGGTTGAGCATATAATTGCCCGTTTGTGTGCTTCTGCTTTGCCGGCTCTTTGCCATGCGTAGTTCCCAAGGATTTGGATCGTTCACCACGTTGAACTCGAGCCATCCTGATAGACCTTTAAACCGGCTTCTATCTCATAGATTTCTTCTGTTCCCGATAACTTTTCTGCCTTAGACTGCTTTCCTTTTTCTTTTCTTACATTGATCATGTCGTCAGAAAAACCCGAGGACTCGCACGTTGCGGATCGAATTCGCTGGCGAGACGAGGAACAAGGCCATGATCGCCAGAGAAGTCGTTCCAGACCTGGGCTTCGTCGTGCCAGCTCTACGGACTCTCTTGCCATACGGAGTGTCCATGGGAGAACTACGGTTGATCCGGCTGTTACTCTCCCTATTCAGTATCGTACCGTGTAAGTGGTGTTAGTGCTCTCGTCTCGCGCGGGCTCGACACTAATCTTCTCAAAGTTCATTCCAAATAGAGGAATCCAAAGGCAAGGAACGAGCAGAATTAATAAGGGCCAGCGAAGTTGCAGCCAAGGGTGAGTTTCCTTCCAATCACAACGCACCTTGACGTGCACTGGATTCTTAACCAGGTGTCACTACAGACCTGAGTGACCTGCAATGGCACACAATAACTGCCACTGAAGTTGCCGAGAGGCTAGTAACTTCATCCACCGACGGGTTGTCAGAGACCCAGGCTAAAAGACGACTCGAGGAGTATGGCAAGAACGCGCCGTCGCCCCCAAAGACGAACCGAATCCTTACCATATTGGGATACTTCTTCAAGGGCTTTGGCGGTATTCTTCTTGTTGGCAGTATTTTGGTCTTTATATCGTGGAAGCCTCTCGGAGATCCACCGCAGCTGGCCAATCTGGTATGACAGAAAATGCTATACTCCCATCATGCTTTCGTGATACTAATATTATTCTGCTTTGAATAGGCCTTGGCAATTGTTCTTCTGGCAGTCTTCTTTCTTCAGGCAGCCTTCACCATGTTCCAGGATTGGTCAACTTCGCGCGTGATGTCGTCCATAAAGGATATGTTGCCAGAGCAATGCCACGTTACGAGAGACGGCCAGATGGTACACATGCAGGCCGAGGACCTTGTTCCAGGGGACCTTGTTACTATTAAAGCTGGCAACAAGCTTCCTGCCGACTTGCGCTTTATTGAGGTGTCGCCTGACCTCAAGTTTGACCGCTCTGTTCTGACTGGTGAATCCAGACCCATTTCGGCGACAGTTGATCACACAGATGTCAATTACTTGGAAACGCACAATATTGGCCTCCAGGGAACTCACTGTATTATTGGATCCGCGCTTGGTATTGTTGTTGCAACTGGCGACCGGACAGTCTTTGGTCGTATTGCCACCTTGACAAATGAGCCTAAGACGGGCATGACGACTCTGGAAAAGGAAGTTCTGTATTTCGTCCTTTTTATTTGCGCAATCATGTTCACCATGATTGCCGCTGTCGTCATCATTTGGTATGTAGTGGCTTCGGTTTTATTCACACTCCCTGCATATTTTACAACCCAGCTAACTCCTCCGATTTACAGGGCCGCCTGGCTGCGACGGGATCATCCTGACTGGATTAATGTGCCTACTTTGATTGTCGACTGTGTTAGTGTGGCTGTTGCATTTATTCCTGAAGGCCTTCCTATTGCTATCACTGCTGGCTTGACTATTACCGCAAACCTGATGAGAAAGAACAAGATTCTTTGCAAGTCTCTCAAGACTGTCGAAACGCTCGGCTCTGTCTCTGTCATTTGCTCTGACAAGACTGGAACTCTGACTCAGGTGAGACGATATGTCGTGCCTGGGAACTTTTTTTGCATCTAACTCTATATCTAGGGTAAAATGGCAGTTACGGATTGCTCGATCGGTACCAACAACCTCTCGATGGAACAACTACATGACAGTATGCATTCTGGAAATGTCAACGAAAAGCCGAATGCCTTTCAAACGTTTGGGCAGCTTGCTGCATTGGGTGCTTTGTGCAACGGGGCTGAGATGGACGCTGCGCAAGCCGATGTTCCCGTTGCAAAGAGACACGTATTTGGAGACGCCACCGACACTGCAATACTGAGATTCTCCGAGTCTGTAGCTCAAGGAAACGTTGCGTATTTTCGATCCTGTTGGCAGAAAGTGTTTGAACTTGCCTTTAATAGCAAGAGCAAGTTCATGATTCGGTGCTTCACTATTGCCCGGCCAGAGGCATTGGACCGGACTCTGACTACCCAGGATGCTAGCCGATTCCAGGGCAATGATTTGTAAGAAGATATCCGTAGTTCGGACCTTTGGGGGAAACCACTGACTTTGCTATAGGCTGCTCACTATCAAGGGCGCACCAGACGTCCTCGTTGAACGATGCTCGTACTACCTGGCCCCATCAGGAGAGGTTCTTGAACTTACCCAAGGAGCCAAGGCTACGTTTGAGCACCTTAAGAACATGCATTCTTCTCAGGGTAAGCGGTGTCTTTTCCTTGCGAGAAAAATCGTCAAGGGTGGTAGACTCCAAGACGGCGGGGACTACGAGAAGTCAGTGGTCGAGGAGGCAAAAACCGGGTTGACCTTGGTTGGACTTGTGGCCATTGTTGATCCACTGCGGCCTGAGATTCGTGACGTTGTCTCTACTCTTCGTGGTGCAGGTATCAGAATTTCCATGGTACGTCGTCTCACATCCACACCCCAATTTCTTTCAGTCTGTACTGACTATAGCCCAGGTAACTGGTGATTTCGCTTTGACAGCCCTGGCCATCGCTCGGGAAGCTGGCGTCGTTACCTGCGTCCATGTTGACGGTGCTTCACACCTCGAAAGAACCACAGTAGATATCGGCTCTGCTTCTGAGGATAATGAAGATATGAAAACAGTCGGTTCAAGGCGAGGTGCTCTAGTCATCAGTGGGCCTGAGCTAACAACCCTGACGGATCACCAATGGAGTCTTCTTACCGAGTACGAAGAGGTGGTATTTGCTAGAACGACCCCGGAACAGAAACTTCGCATCGTGCGAGAATACCAGAAGCATAACGTTGTTGCCATGACCGGTGATGGTGTCAACGATGCGCCGTCTTTGAAGGCTGCCGATGTTGGTATTTCCATGGGCAGCGGCTCAGACATTGCCATGGAGGCCGCGGACATGGTATTGCTAGACTCGTTTTCTTCTGTTGTTGCGGCGGTCCAGTATGGACGAGTAGTGTTTGACAATTTGAAAAAGGTGAGGGGATCGTATATCGACGGCCATTTTGATGCAATACTAACAAAGGCCGGATTAGGTCATTGCGTACCTGCTTCCTGCTGGTAGTTTCTCCGAATTCTGGCCCGTCATGACGTCGGTTGTTTTTGGTCTCCCTCAAATTCTGTCTTCCTTCCTCATGATTATTATTTGGTGAGGTCTATCCCTCTAGCTCTTTGGTATATTCGCGAAAGTGCTCTTGCTAACTGAAGGCAGCTGCTTCACGGATTGTGCCGCTGCCACCGTCCTTTCCTTTGAAAAGCCCGAGGCGGATGTACTCCTCCGAAGGCCTAGAAACGTAAAGAAAGACCGGCTTGTTAACTGGCAGTTGATCTTTCACGCGTATGCCATCATTGGCGTCACAGAGACCCTTGCATCCTTCGCAATGGCCTTTTGGTACCTGCAACGACAGGGAATTCCCTTCAAGGACCTGTGGTTCAGCTTTGGCGTACTACCCGCCTCCATCAACCCGGACTACTATGCGGAAAAGTTGAACGAGGCTTCATCCATCTACTTTGTCAATTTGGTTGTCATGCAGTGGTTCAATCTCATGGCTACGAGAACAAGACGACTCAGCATCTTCCAGCACCCTCCTCTGTTTAACAAGAAGACCCAGAACTTGTATCTATTCCCTGCAATTGTGTTTGCCTTGGCAATGGCGGTATTGTGGCTGTACATTCCTTCATTGCAGCCCATCATTCAGACGGCCGATGTACCTGTGGCGCATTGGTTCTTGCCTTTTGCTTTTGGTCTTTTTATCATTTTGATTGATGAGGCTAGGAGGTGTTGGGTTAGGCGCTGGCCGAATGGCCTGCTCGGGAGAATGGCGTGGTAGTTTTGGGCCTTGGTTTTGGAGGGGACGTTTTTGTAAAGATGGTTCCGTGCGCGTTTGCGTACGTTGGGATGAGAGGTTTGGTACACTGTTATACTTGTGTTTGATAACCGTTGTACCGTGTGTAACGACATGCTGCGTGATAGTTGCCAAATGTTGGCTCGGTAACCTTGCGGCTCAACGTTCCCTGTCATGGTGGAACAAGCACTTGATCAACCCGTGTCTAGTAGTTACAAAACAGGCTACTTTCACCGCTTCCAATCAAAACCCGTGGTGGTGGTGGTGGTGGTGGTGGACCGCCGATCATGTCGGTTCCTGTCAAGCGTCAGCGTCAGGCTTCAGCACAGCACAATGAGGATTCCTGGCTGCTCAGTCAACGGTGATTCGGCCATTCTTTGGTCGGCGCAGTGCCGTGGTCGTCGTCGTTAGCCGGCTGGTTCTCCGCGACACAAATCAACCATTCGGCGCAACCACTGCTGATATCAGCTCATTGTACCCTGTTGGTGAGGCTGCCGATGCACGTTGGATTGCCAAGCTGTTCTTGTATTTTGGGGGCCGCATCATAGTTTGTGGTTCTGTCCCTGGTCGGGCGTCATGACGGCCATTGTGCTGCCGCCTCCAGGGTGACGCAGCTTGCGCTTCTCCGTCGTTCATCACTCAAGCGTCACCTCACCCGTTGTCGATTGATGGGGTTGAAGACGCAGGCTACTTGACAGAGTGCTTCAAACAATGCCTGGAGTCCCGTCATCTCGCAGCTGCGAAGCCTGTCGCAGGGCGAAGAAGAAGGTGAGAGAGACTTTGGGGTTTCGGTAGAGCAACCATTGACTCGGGTTTTTTTCCTCCTGCACAGTGCGACCAAGGCAGACCGTCATGTGGTCGCTGCGTACGGCTCAAGATCCATTGCGTCGGGTCTGGACACCAGCGGTACAAGTTCCACGACGTGTCGATGGCGTTTGCTATTGTCAACAGCCAAGTGAGCAGACGACCGGCTGCCTCGAGCAAAGCAGGCCTCGGCCCCATCACGACAGTCCCAAGCAGCAAGGTCACCATTACCGCCAGCGCGCTGGGGTCTGTCTTGGAGGTGACAGACCCTAGGTATGATGTTTTCGCCTTTGGCTTGTTCATGAGCGAGCTCCCGCGGCGTCTCGGGCACAGCGTCGCTCTGGACGCGTCGACGGCGGCCTTTGTCAGCGCCCTGAAAGATCTGCGCACCAGGCAGCCGACGCCCGATACCATAAGGAAGTACGTGGGAGCCCTGAGTGCCGTGCAGAAGAGCCTGGGGGACGAGAGCACGGCGTACTCGGCCGAGACGCTGTGCGCCGTGTTCTTGGTCATGGCCGCGCAGCCGTGGCTGTCCATGAAGGGCGACCGGCACCCCAGCCACGGCCTGGGCATGTCGCATCTGCTCAAGATGCTGGTTGACAGGCAGCCCCATGATGACTTTTTGCGGACGCTGATGGCATCAGTCACCGTCGTCGTGGTGGGTTGCCGCGTGTGTCCCCCGACAAGCCGGCTCGTGCTAACCGCCGGGCGCAGATACTCGAGAACATATTCAACCCGGCGATTGCGCTGGAGCCTTGGATACACAAGGTGCGTCCGCTGACGAGTCGGGAGGAAGAGGAGGCGGCGTTGAAGCTGGGCCTCAACTTCCGATCCCTGGACATGGGATGGCTCTCGAAGCTGCCTGAGCTCATACGCAACCCGGTCGAGAACAGCGCCACCATCAGGGCCTACTATGAGATGATACAGACCGACTATCCCGGGATAAAGCGCTTCGGGGACAGCGTCATTGAGGCGAGATGCGTTGGGCCGCCGACGTCTCTCCCGCTCCGGGTTGTGCGGGCGCAGACGCAGTTCCACGCCGCGCAGTGCGTCATCCTATCCATCGCCATCGCCTTGAACGCATTCGTGGGCAAGCACTTTGGCCCCGGCGACCTTGCAGCCGCAGAGAGGTATGCCTTTTGCGCCGATGCCATCCAACTTGCGGAGAGGGCTCGGCACCGAAGGCCCCTGGCTGCCGCTCACATTCCGCTGTGTCTCATCGCGGCTTGGCTATCTTCGCGGGATGCCGCGCAGCAGGCGCAGCTGGAGCTTCTGATGGACGAGTACGAGAAAGACTATCATCTGATTGAAATGGTCCGAGGCGCAACGCAGGCCGAGGGGAGAGGGAAAGAGGGCGCGATTCGCACATTCGCCTGCTTTCCGATGCAGACACTGGGCGGGCAGAATGGACCGCCGGGACCAAGGGCTGGCCCCGAAGCTTACTGCGCAGAGTACTGTACTATTCTGTGATGAGACATTGTTGGCTAAAATTACAGGATACATGATGCTTGGGATGCCCGGCATGTAGGTAGTCAGCATCATCACGGCGGCAGGCAGTGGATCGTTGTTCAATATCCCAGTGTCGCATTTGGCTCGTCATCGGAGCTGTTCCAATCTTGCGACAGTGCCCTGATGAGTGGATTCTTTATGTGGCTCACTTCATACACAGGGTACATTTGCTCAGGAGCCTGGCAGTACGCGTGAGTCATGAGAGCCGCAAGCAAGTCCTTGTGTGGCTACGCGGTCCACGAGCCCGACATCTCTGGCTGGAAGGAAGCTCCTCCCATCAACCGCAATCTTACTCTTATGGAATTGGTAATCAGTGACTCCTATACAGAGCCATGGGCCGATGATGGGATTACCGCGCGACCACGCAGCGCTCAGGAGGTATATCGGATGAAGATGATACGCGTCCCGCAACAGGCAGCCTTTTGAAGAGGACGAAGCGTAGTATTCGTATAAACCTGGCTGGACTTGGGCAGAATGGGGCGACGGGTCGTGACAAGAACACGAGTAAGAATTGTAACCCTTTTGCACTCCTGGGGTTCTATCGTCGTCAGATTTCGTTACATGAGTGGATACAAATTGGTCTAAATGTTTGGTTTGAAATTTCGTATACAGTACTAGTAGACTAGCCATGGGAAAAAAGGTTTGTGCAGAAGAGCCAGCTATTCCGACCTCATGGTATTACTTGCTCATATGCTTCTATCTTATAATAGTAGAAAAAAAAAAGAGTCCCCCCATTCCTAATCGTGACGAGAAAACTAGGCACCCTCCGGCTCTGCGGGTATAAACGCAGCCTTCTCGAGAGGAATCTGGGCGACAATCCCGCCAGAGGGACTGCCTGCGTCGACATTCTCCTTTGCCTGCTGGCACGCCTTCATGTAGTTGACCAGCTGCTGGCCATTTCTCCTATATGTCTCGGTCAGCCAACAACGAAAAAAGAGTTCCTTTGCCACGTTTCCGGGCAGGCAGTCAAGTTACTGACGGGTTGATGGCGGCAACCTGGCCGGTCTGGCAGTGCGGCCCGGTGGCGCAGTAGATAAGCCTGGGGTTCAGGTCGTTGACGGGCACGTTGAAGACCATGACGTTCTGGTCGCCCTTGTTGTAGGGGAGGTGTCCGGAGTGGATGGCCAGCGGGTTGGACTTTTGCAGCGGCTGGCAGCCCGAGCCCTCGATGCCCTCGGTGATGGTGTGGTTCCCGCTGCTGAACTGGAACTGGATAACGTCGCCGATAGCGGCGATGATAAAGTTGGGCACGATGAGATCCTGGGGGCCGCCGACTATCACGGTATGGATCTGGTTCGCCTCGCCTGGCGAGATGGTGTTGGTGCGAACTGCATGGGGTGTTAAGTTTGCGCTACTTCCTGGGAGATGGCCCTGGGGTATTTTGATAGTCAGACTTACTTCGCAAGGGTCTGGGTTGCTCATGTGGTGCTGCGATGCCAGACTGGAGTAGGCTGGCTAGAGCCAACAGATACGGGAATGCCTTCATTTTTTCGTTTCGCTTTATGTATTAATGGTGGCGGCCGGCCGGCGGTCTCTCCAAGTGCCCGGCACTTTATCAGGAATGCTGCCCGGTAAGGAATGAAGTAGTTGTGAAGCTCGTCCAGCGAGGTGAAGCGGACAGACGAGCTCAGACTCGGCTCCGGAGGAATGAATGGAAGGCGACCAGTCGCTACTGAAGAAGAGGAAGAGAACCAAAAAAAGAACGTCGTACAGCAGACAGGTATGTTGCTTTCACTTGGGCATGAAATCTCTTTTGTGTCCTGTTCGGAAGCCGAGCACTCGATCGGTTCCGCCGGTTTCACAATATCACGCAACGACATCGTGGCCCAGGTCAGCATCCGATGGGAAATTCGGAACTGCCAAGAAAGGGCCCGTCGTTCTTGACGAGGCGAGGCGAGGTGAGGCGAGGCGAGGCGCATCGTGTTAGTGCGCCATTATTTTTCCACTCGCGAGGAACGGGGGAATATCCCGGGCGAGCGTTTTGCCAGCGTCATGCGCGGCGGCGGCGCAAGGGGGTTTGGGCGGAGAGTCGTAATGATTTGCCGTCTGGTGTTTTGCGCTTGCGGAAACAGAAAACGAAATCTGCAAATGATTGACGGCCCAAAAATAAGGCTTATTGCTAAGCTCATGGCGTAGGGCGGCGGTTCTGGAAAAAGAACGGGCTTGTTGCGGGATGCTCTGAAACAGCCCCAGATTCGCGACACCCAACCTGCTTCAGCCAAGGACGATGTCCCGTCGATACTCCAAAGCCACGTCTCAGAACAGAATACTATGTTTGGGGTGTTGCAACTGCATTCCGATGGTGATGTGGCAACTATACCTGTCGGAAACAGCATTCCGTTCACGTTTATTGCTTATACTGATCATGACGACATTTGACCACGTCTCCTATCAGGAATTTATTTCAAGAAAAAAAAAACCCCCCGGGGAATCAAAGGCGACTCATCCATTTATATCCTCGTGTCGGGAGGCGCCATGGAAAGGCCAAGGCGGTGCTGTTCACGGGCTTCCCCGACTCGGTCGACATGTCCACTTTTGGACCTCACGGAGTAGCTTCTTGTCAGATGAACCTGGTTCAGGGCATCAGCATTTTGTCTTGGCCCAAATGCTGTTTTACCACAAGCGGACATCCGTACTTGATTATGCAGCCCAAGGAGTCGAGTGATCTGGGGCACCAGGGTAGCGCGTCACGCCGAGTGCCTCGCAAGTTTTGTCCCATCTGCAAGGCAGAAGAGAAGGGGTTGGGGACACGCGGTCACGCCGCTTCGTCATCCATCACACCTTTGTAGCTGGCTCTTTGCAATCGTCTGCTGAAATTCATCGTAAACGGACCCGCGCAAGAAGACGGCAGCAACTGCAACGGCGTCTAGTTTGCACGACCCGAGTTATGTAATCCCTTTGTTCCGGCCGAGCACCGAGTGGTCCTATTGTGCAAGGGGCCGGCGGCCCGTCTGACGTCTCCACAATTTCCCGAGTTAAGCCCCGGGGCTTCCGTATTGCCATAATTGGAAGTTTCGCAGACAAAGGCGGCCACTCCGCCCTCCACGGAATAGGTTTGCATTCCCGGGTCTCCTTTTGCTTCAAAATGAATGCATTGCGTATGCCGAACGCAAAAAAAAAAAAAAAAAAAAAAAAAAGCCTGGAACCACTGCTGGCATGTTTTATCGGCACTTGTTGTGACGCGAGCAGTAGTGACGCCCAAATGGTGTGCCGACACGCGCGGGCAACTTGGACAGATATTGGGAGTATGGGATCTCACCATAATAAAAACCTTGCTTGACTTGAGCCTTTAAATATGCACAAGTCGCCGCGACTCAGTCAATCGAGTTCCGCACCCAGACCTCGTAGGAGTTGCCCCCATGCATCATGAGTTACTATCGACTTGGCACTCAACTTTTGCGCGCCCCAGTGAGCCGAGTTGGCGCTTCGGATACTTGCGGCCCGCGGGACAAGGTGAGTGATCCCAAGTGCTGTAATGTGGACCCACAAAGCATCCGATGCAAGCTCCAATCATGGCTTCAAGATGCCTGAAGCCGTGTTGGCAGACCAGTGGTGCTGCTCTGATACCCAAGGCGCAGAGACAAACTGAGGAAAACCCACGCTGCCAATTGAAACTCGGCGATAACCTACTGTCATCAGAAGCCAGTCATGTGATCATCTCGCGTCGGATAATCGGATGATTAGATAATTACCCCTCCTCCAATTTGTTGGGGGCTGTGGAGAACTAGGTTGACGACGTTGCGGAGCCGGCACCTGAGGGAATATAAATGGCCAGCTCCTGCCGTGAGAGGCATTTTTTCTCTCGTCTTTTTCAAAAACTCTTGCCGTTTTTTCTCTTCCAAAACCCCATCAAAACCCCATCAATTGCTCAGCTATTCACCCACCACAGTAGTCCGAGTACGATTGGTACGCCTCCAGCGTCTGAGGAGCCATGATGCCTCTCGCAATGGAACTATCATCAGGTCGAGGTAAAGTGAACCAAGGATGCAACCGGGTGTTCAATCTTATTCCCGCCGTGTCCCGCTCTTGACGCCTCAGCACAAATCGTCCTGCCGCCGAGCCATCAAACATGGTGTCGGTTGGTAAAGAGACGATTTCCTGTGTGTTCGAGTGTTTTGAGACGCGCCACGGCGAGATGATTGATCTGAGAAATACCGGTGAACTTGATCTGGATAATACCAGCGAAAGGATTTGCTTCTTGAAGACTCTTTCTGTAGCCCCCATTCCGAAGACCAACTAACTCCTGTAGCATTCGCTTCGAACCGCCAAAATGTCCACGGATAAGATCACCTTCCTTGCCAACTGGTAGGATTGGACTGTCCCTGGGAGATTGTTTGGCGCACGCATTGACTAATTGCTATTGTAGGCACGCTACGCCTTACCACGCGCCTCTGTACCTTGCTCAGGCCAAGGGATACTTCAAGGATGAAGGCATCAAGGTCGCCTTGCTGGAGCCCAACGACCCTAGTGTGCGTGTGTCATGGTATTCTCATTCATTTCCACGGGACCGCAAAGGGCTAACTGAAAAAAAAGGACGTCACCGAAATCATTGGCACAGGCAAAGTCGACCTTGGCTTCAAGGCCATGATCCACACTCTGGCTGTACGTCTATATTTTCACTCTTTTAGCATCTTCTTCTTTCCGTGTCACAAAGCACAGTATTTTTGACTGTCGGGCTACAGGCCAAGGCTCGTAACTTCCCCGTGCTCTCCATCGGAAGTCTCTTGGACGAACCCTTCACCGGTGTTGTCTACCTCAAGGACTCTGGCATCACAACCGACTTCCGCTCTCTCAAGGGCAAGAGAATCGGCTACGTCGGCGAGTTTGGCAAGATCCAGATCGACGAGCTCACCTCGCACTACGGCCTCACTCCCGCCGACTACACCGCCGTTCGCTGCGGCATGAACGTCTCCAAGGCCATCATCAACGGCGATATTGACGCCGGAATTGGCCTGGAGAACGTCCAGATGGTCGAGCTGGAGGAGTGGCTTGCCAGCCAGGGCCGCGACAAGTCTGACGTCCAAATGCTCCGCATCGACGAGCTGGCCGAGCTCGGCTGTTGCTGCTTCTGCTCCATCCTCTACATTGGAAACGAAAAGTTCATCTCTGAGAACCCGGAAAAGGTCCGCGCCTTCATGCGAGCCGTCAAGAAGGCCACGGACTTTGTTCTCGCCGACCCCCACCAGGCCTGGAAGGAGTACGTCGACTTCAAGCCCGTCATGAACTCCCCGCTCAACTGGAAGATCTTTGAGCGCAGCTACGCCTACTTCTCCCAAGACCTGAAGAATGTCGAGCGCGACTGGGACAAGGTCACCAAGTATGGTCAGAGACTTGGCGTTCTGAGCCCCGACTTCAAGCCCAACTACACCAACGATTTCCTCGGCTGGGGTCTCGAGCCCGACTCTGCCGACCCAACCGGCGACCAGAAGCGCATGGTTGAACTCCAGCGCAATGTTGCCTGCTGCGGCGGCTTCCACCGGCTTCCCCTGACTGCGAAGGCTTAAGAGGCTCGTGTGTTTACTGAAGCTGTATGCAACCAGCTACGAGGACACGCTCATGTACGACGCTCATTTCCCTCATGCAGAGTGATTTCATTCTTGGCAAACCAACTTCAACACGCTCGTTGAGCCACGGGATCAAATACTGTAAAACTGAGTAGTTTGGAAGAATAGTAATAAAATCTCTGAACTGCCTACGAAGTGTGCGCCTGAAACATGGCATTGCTATCTCGTGACATGTATTTACTTGACTGGCTGTATTAGAGGGACTGATAGTTGAAACTGCATGCGGCGGTTCATGATAATCACGCAGGCATCGTCAAGGAATTGAGGTTTCATCCTAGGTAATAGCTCTTATCATTGCTAAACTAATCTAACTAAACCTACCTGAATCGATGTACATCATACAAGCGCCATGCCTTACCGTAAACAAACGTCATAATGTGGTCAACTTGACATCTCTAGGCGCCGACAGCGCCGCTGGTTCGCTGACGAATGGTGTCGGCCATGAGTCTATTCTTGCGCTCCAGCTCCTCGGTGCTGCTATGGTCTTTGAAGACATCGTCCATCTGCTCCAGAGTTTTGCCGTTGGTCTCGGGGACAAAGTAAAAGGTCCACGCGAACGACAAGAAGCAAAAGACGGCGAAAAACACATAGGCCCCGAATCCGGTATTTTGTACCATGGGAGGAGTGATCAAGCCCTGCAGGTGGATTAGCTTCCCCTTGTTGCTACGCGCCGGGATTTTCCAAGTTGCAACTTACGACTATGAAATTGTTAAGCCAGTCTAGGTTGACCGGTGAGTCAGCCCATGCTCAGAAAGGGAGGAGGAGAGGTTCGTGTGTAACACAGCAGACCCGGCGGCAGCACTTACTTGAGCATGTGGAGATGGAAACGCCCTTGGCACGGAGCGAGGAAGGGAAGATCTCGGCCGGCATGGCCCAGGGGACAGGGCCCCAGCTGGCTCCGAACGCGAGCATGTAGAAGAGA